GTAGCTAGTAGTTTTTGACTACTTTTTTAGAACAGTAGCTGTAGTTATAGCGAACTACATTTTGCCTAAAAGTAGCTAAGTAGTTGACTACTTTTCCGGCAAACAGCGAATCGCTATTCGCTTCTTTTTAAAATCGGTTCAGTGCAACTTTATAGAATACCATTAACATGATATTGAGACGCTTTTGCCTAAAATCAATACTCGATAGTTAATTTGCTCTCCTGAACACTGTTAGAGTAGTGCTTACAAAAATGTTGCTTTGTGTTTACCGTTTTGCTACTCGTAAGTCCATTTGTTATAGGTTAAGTCTTAAATAATTACATTACAGCCTGAGTTAGTAGATGCTCCAAATACGTGCATGTACATGTACAGTAAAACTAAAAAATATAGCGTAGCGAAATAGTTCCTATATTTTTTAAGCAGTATAGCTGTAGTCAGTAGCGAACTACCTTTGTTCAAAAGTAGCAGTAGTTGTAGCTGACTACTTATTTTTGAAGTAGCTGTAGTTATAGTCGGAACTACAAAAATGTTGTAGGCAACCCACCCTTGATACTAGATAGCTTAAGATCTAAGACGTCGACGTCAGCTAGGACGTCAGGGCTGTGCAGAGGACTGGGACTAGGATGTCGTCCTAATGTAGTCCCAGTCCTCTGCTTAGCCCTGACGTCCTAGCTGACGTTGACGTCGTAGATCTTAAGCTATCTATTATCTAGATGCTATATAAGAATATGGCGGATGTCCAGTTGATCTTGTAACTGACCATGCTCGGCAGCAATTCAATAATTTCTTAGAGATGACCCAGATAGTCACAGATTAGATGATCGGATCGGATCGGACGTTTATAATCCGACAATTGCGGCTAATGTTTAACTAAATCCAATCCGATCCGAAGAATCCTTTAATAAAATAAATTTATCATACAAAGTGACGAATAATCCGATCCGACTACGAAACAACTTTGACCTTTGTCAATCCCATCCGAAATGAATATTTTTGTTCCGAAATCCGAACGAATCCGATCGGATCGGATCGGATTTGCACACCTCTACATAGATATGTGCCGTCACCGCGAAACCAACGAATAGAGGCTTGGTTGGTGGATAAGTCTTTTCAAAGATATGGTGGATAACAGAGTCGTAGATCTCACATCAGACTTGAAAATTAATGGAATGCCTATGGTTTTTCTTGAGCTGCTTCAGAACGTCTTAGATGAAATACGGAGAACATTGCAATTATTTTCTTATAATCAAAACCTCTGTGGAAATATAGTAGCGAATGAGGTTTTCTTCGTCCTCTTCATTCCTCTTCATGCGTTTCGAAATGCTCGTTTCTAAACCGATTGGCATCTGCCATTTTGTCCGTCAGTAACACGTTAACAGTAAATTGCACTGGTTATGTCCATCTGCCGTGGAGTTTTCGTTTGTGCCGTGACAAAATTTTGTTTAATGTGCCGTGATGTTTCATGCACGAATATATTTCACTTTGAAATCCATCCCGACAAAAAGTTTTCCCCTCCCCCTCCGAACGGCAGAAATTCCTCCTTGGGGGCAGAGTAGATCTTTCCTGGAACGAGCCAATCAGACAACTGCAAGACTGATAGTTCAATGTACGTCCCAATAATTTCCTTGGTATAGATAAGATCTTTAAATTCTATGATACAATAGATACTATAATGTAGCATTAGTGTAAATTACGGCTAAGAGCCGTGTTGATATATCTCAACTTTGATATCAACACGGAAGATTTATTTCTTTATATTTCTTTCGGGCGTCGTGTTTCCACACAATTTCTCTATAACTGTATATCAACACGGAAATGTTTCATATTTGTTAAATATCATTTTAACTGTTTTGGTTTCTTGTGATACTATATGTATACGGAATTGCGCGCGCATTGTACATGTAGGCAAAGCACCGCAATCATTACAGCACGGGTTTTTTAATATAAACAATCAGAAGAGAAATAGGGGCGTCGATAACTGTTTCGAGTTTAGAGCCATCTTGTTTTTTTTAAAAACAAGAATATTTTTTATGGTCCCCTCGTTGGGACGAGAAAACCATAGAAATAGAAAGTGAGAGATGTAGAACGCGAGGGACTCCATAATTATAAAATTTTAAGTACAAGTATAATATGCGCGATACATTGAAGCACAGACAGACAAGGTTCTGCATTTTGTTGGGTATTGTAGATGGAAATTATCAAGTGGAAATTTTACGTACTATTTAAAGCACGCGTAGGAATGTTTTATCATATTTAAAATGCGAGTGCGCAGCCGATAAGGTCTGTTTTAGGCCTTTTTTATACGTCGAATTTTGGTCGCGTCGAATGCAATTAAGACAATAGATAATGAGATGATAAACCTCATTAAGCTTCATTATCTATTGTTTGAATTGCATTCGACGCGACCGAAATTCGACGTATATGGCCGCCTGTTTTATACGTCGAATTTCGGTCACGTTGAATGCAATTCAAACAATAGATAATGAAGCTTAATGAGGTTTATCTTCTCATCTATTGTCTTAATTGCATTCGACTCGACCAAAATTCGACGTATAAAACAGGCCTAAAACGCGCGAGTTCGGGTGTTTTGAAAGCTTAAAATACGACCACAAAAGAATACTAATTAGGATGAACAATTATATAATCATACTAATTAGGATGAACAATTATATAAAGAATACTAATGAAGATGAGTTTTATCAGATATAAAGTCACTCCACGTGACATATTATGGCTGACATGTTTGCCCGGGGTTTATGAATTTCTAATGAGTAGTTTAAATACATAGAGCCCACTGAAACTGTGGTACTGGTCAGCGTGTGATCTTGGCCTATGTTCAGAATATGATAAATTCGCGCGATTTCGGAGTTCGCATGTCATGACTCTTGAGATTGAAGGATGAACTAAACTAAAATATTAACTACCTGAAGATGGAGTAAATCTCCGAAATGTCGAAAGTAATGAACACATTTAAAAAAAAGTCGTATTGTGGTCTATATATTGAACACAAAATAAAATCACATGATGATTTTTCCTTTGCTTTCTGGGTATACCTAACATTTTTACAAAAGTGCCAGTTAAAATTTCCAAGCCACTTTTACTTTCATTTCAGTGTTTATATGTAACATTTGACGACGGAACAACTATGTTTTAAACTTAAATAAAATACATGACAGTGTTGGAAAAAGCATTAAGAACAGCTAACGTCACAAAAGAATGTTTTGTACCTAAGATATTGTCTAGGATAAATATTTTTAATTTAAAATTTCGGACAAAAGAAAACTTGCATGCGCGCGCGCGTATTGTGTTACATAGTTATGACGTCCCACAATATAAACAAACATTAAAAGCGGTGGGGTAGGTTTTCTCCGTGTACTCCGATTTTCAAAAAATTTTTGATGGTCCCTCAACCCTCTGCGTACTGCAGGCGAGGGACTTTATATATAATTGAATCCAAAATACAAACACATAGACTTAATTAGACTACAGTACTACACACGTAAAAACGCACAAGTTGTAACAAACCTGCAGCAAACTTGTGGCAATGCTGTTCCAACAACTTGTCAACAGGCAGCCTAGACCTAGGCCTTCTATTTTTATTATTTTTTTAATATTCAGCGCTTTTTCACATGAAAAGACTGGGACTAGGTGATTTGCGCTAATTAGCCATTGCTAGCCGGAAATTGACCAAACCTGCCAAAGATACCTGCCAAAGCCAGCCGAGTAAAGGCCTAGGTCTAGGCTGGTCAACAGGATGTGTTCGCACTGCTTGTTGACCTTGTTCCCAGCTTGTTGACAAGTTGTCAACGGTTTGCTGACAACTTGTTACAAGGTTGTTGAGCTCAACGTCCTGCAATTCAACAAGTTGTAAGTGACAACCTTGTAGCAACTTGATGTCTGCAATTCAACAATTTGTCAACAAGTTGTAAGTGACAACCTTGTAGGTCTTGTAGCGACTTGATGAAATAACAGCATTGTTACAACTTGTTGACAAGCTTGCTACAAACCTGTTGCGAACACATCTTGTTGACAAGTTGTGAGATTTTTACTAGCCTGCGTAGCAGGCGGTAGAAGCTTAGAAATACCGCCTGCCCAAAAACTACACATTCTGAGTTCCGCCCACCGCATGGTCCCGCCCATCTTACAGTAATGTATTTATTTTAATTATTTGTCAAACTCACGTATTTACACCAATACACCGGTCCAGTGCAAATATACGACTTTGACGTTTCATATCTTCGGTTCATTCAATGCTATGAAGACAAAAATACCACGTTCGATTCAGTGTAACAATATGTCCTCATTCATAGCGATAGTTTTAGTCGATGTCAACATTATAGCGATTTATGAGCTTTGAAAGTCAAGCGAGTTCGTGTATTATCAAATTACGCAATTGTCTGAACAAAAATATAGACTAGCCATACCTTTCGCCGAACACAACTTCGGCCCCTTCAGACGTAACTTTGTAATAGGCTTGTTCCAATCGCTATCAAAAACACGATTTAGAGTGTCATTTACGAGCCTGTATCTTCAAATCTGCACTTTTATCACGGTATCACATCTTCAAGCAACAAATGTTGGATTGATATTCGTTGTTCATTCTTCAAGACGAAGCGATTTCCGATTCCAGATAAAGATTAAAGAATTCAACGCTTAATTCTCAATTAATACATTCGTTATCTTTTGGTTAGTGTATGCCATCACTCGATATATCGGTACAATTACGAAAAATCGAAAATAACAATAGTTTATATTATAAATACGGCAACAGTAACTTCTAAAATTAGCACTAATTATTCTAATTCTGTACTCCTGTCAATCAAAAATTCAAAATCAACATTCTGACCAATCAGATACCGCCTGGTACGCAGGCTACCAATCAGAATGCTCCGGCACCCAGCTGCCGGGGAGAACTCAGAATGTGTAGTTTTTGGGCAGGCGGTATTTCAAGCTTCCCATTCTCTCGTGCCCGCGAATACCGCCTGCTACGCAGGCTACAGCAGAGAAACTGTATAATGACTTCATCCTTCGGTTTGGTTTCCCTGCTCATATACTACATGATCAAGGTAGAGAATTTGAAAACAATATATTCCATCAGTTAGAAAAGCTCACTGGAATTCGTCGACGTCGAACAACACCTTACCATCCTCAGGCCAACGGCAAGGCTGAACGATTCAATCGAACGTTACTGGCTATGTTAAGGACTTTACCAGAAAATCAGAAAAGCAAATGGCTTATGTCGGTAAATAATGTCGTTCATGCATACAGTTGCACAGTGAAGAGTGCTACCGGGTTCTCGCCATTCTTTTTACTATTCGGCCGCCCTCCACGGTTACCAATAGATCTCCTCTTCGGACTATCACCTACTACAACCACTGGAAACCACACACAGTATGTGAAACGATGGAAGGGAGCAATGAAAGAAGCTTATGCGAAGGCGACGGAAAACAGCAGAAAGTCTGCAGAAATAGGGAAGAAGCACTACGACAAGAAGATTCGTTATACAGAATTAAAGCCTGCAGGAGACCGAGTCCTGGTACGAAATCTCTCTGAACGTGGTGGGCCTGGGAAACTCCGGTCCCACTGGGAAGATCAGATTCACGTGGTGGTGGAAAGGAAAGGAAAGGAGAAATGCCAGTATTCGTGGTTAAACCTGAGGGCCTAGCCACGAACAAGAAAAGAACTCTTCATAGAAATCTCCTCCTTCCTTGTGACTTCTTGTCCCCAGATAATTCAATGGATCTTACACCAGCGGTTAAACCTCAACGTTTAAGAAATGAACGGAAGGCTCAAAATAGTGGGGAAGGTGCGGAATATGAAGAATCTGAACGTGACAGTGATGATGAAGAATTTTGCGGATTTACTCCTGCTTAAGTGTATGCTGACCAGCCTGCAACAACAACATAAAATTTGGCCGAACCACTTGCGACAACTATGGAGACTTGTGAAGTACTGGATGCTGGGTTACAGGAACAATTCGATGATAATCACGGTCAAGATACCGATGAACCAATAGAAGAACCAGCAACTCGTACAGACACTGCCGAGACCGAAGACCCAACAGAGGAAGCCGTGCTTCGACGGTCAGTTCGGACGCGACGGCCTAACATGCTAAATTACGATGCAGAATTTCCGACAGAATTTCCGCCTTACTTGTCAAGTGTACAGACGGTAAACGAAGGATTGTTCCCTCCACAAGAGATGTTGTTCCCTTTTTCCTCCATATCCTAGTATGCCTATGTTTTACCCTCAACCTTCTCCCAATCATTTTTACCCTCAACCTCTTCCCAATCATTTTTACCCTCAACGTTTTCCCACTAATTACCTACCCTTTCCACAACCGATTCCCCATATTTCTACTCCACCTTTGTACTGGCAACCACCCGTCTACTACGGCGGTCCAAGCTGTGCATATGCATAATAGATGGTTTATCAGATACTTTAGTTAATATTTTAGGTATTTATGGAAAAAAAAAAGAATTGAACTTGTGATGCTGCATAAAAGATGCAAAGAAAAAAATTAAGAGTCTCTGAACTGTATTGAACAAGGACGGCGCTAGTAGTAACAATTAAAAGTATAAATAACAGATAAAAGTATGCGGGTTTCGTTGGAATAGCGTGCGGATGGACACACTTAAAGTGGGGGAGAGTGTGAGGGGTATAGCCGTTTCGGGGTTTTAAAGTACTACCCCTCCCCCCTTTAGTTTAGTTTAGCTTAGTTCCGTTGTGTCACATGACCGGAAGTGAAGAGAGCGGCATGCTCGAAGTTGAAAACGATAGCCTTTGGGTGAATATTTAGTTTTATATTTTAAAGCGAAATTATGTGAATAAAACAAGTTTAATTTAACTTTCTGTCTTTCTTTACCGGTGTTACTATTCGATAGGAACACGGGTTACATTTGAGAAAAGCTAACTGCGACTTTGCAGCACTTCGTAATGGGGCTATTTAAAAATTTTGATTAAAGAATAAACGATTATATAAAACAATAAATTCTAAGTGGAGTATAGAATCGTCTTTACTATGGCTGACGAACTGGCCCAAGAAATGTTATCATCTCGATAAAATGTTTTAATCTCCACGGGACAGCTATTCTCATTAGCCATAAAAGTTAAGAAAACCGGATGAAAAAATAGCCCAGAAAGACTGGGGACAATAGCGTAAGAGGTCACGTTCCCTTGGGGACCTTACATGTGCAGAAACTTGGATAGTTTAATCTTACCAAGCTAGTACGTGAAGAAGGCACGATCCAGACAAGCAAGGGAAGAGAAGAACGAAAAAGATTCAACAACATTGTTTCGCCTACAGCCCATAGCTACTTGCTTCCGAACGTCGAAATCTTAGAGTTCTGGCCCAAAGACAAGCACCGGCCGACGTTCCACCTCCGCAAGTTCCGCCGGTGGTGGTGGTTTCGGATGCTCATGTTGGCGAGCAGAGTGCTGAGCCTCAACCGCTGCTACAAGATATTGCAGAGCAGCCAGTGGCAGTTTGTATTTTTGGTTTGTTATATCACTGTAGTTTCATGGTAGTGCTGGTATTTGTATGCCGTAGCAGTGTTTTTCCATATTGTTGTTCGTTATGATTCCCCTATTCTCAATTGAATTCCTTTGTTTCTACGCCCCCATTACCTGAGTGTTATTTTGTTTGGTCGTGGTCTGTAGGTCAGTTACTGATTTGCTTGGAAGGTATTTCTCGTTCGCCACGCGTATAGGTTTGTTTTGGAAGGTTTTTCTTGCATTTATGCAGCCTTTGGGCGTTTTTCCTGTCGTCTTTGCTCGCCTAGTTTTATTTTCATTTGTTAAATCTGCGATCAGGCAATTTGCGAGCTTGGGGGTGCTTATTTGTAAGAGGTTTTCTGCTGTTGGTGTTGGTGTTGGTTTAGTCTTTGTGTTTCTACGCCTCATTACCTGTTTTATGAGGCTCTTGGGCGCATTTTTTAGTGTTATTTTGTTTGGTCGTGGTCTGTAGGCTTACTGATTTGCCTGGGAGGTATTTCTCGTTTGCCACGCGTATTGCGGTCTTTGGGGTTTTTTCCTGTCTTTTGCTCGCCTAGTTTTATTTTCATTTGTTAAATCTGCGATTAGGCAAATCGCGAGCTTGGGGGTGCATGCGTATTTGTGCGAGGTTTTCTGCTCTTGGTGTAGTCTTTGCGTGGATGTCAGCCCACGCCATATATATGGGGTATATTCGCGGCCGTGGGGTTTGATAATTTTTGTCTGCAAACGTGTCTGAATGCTTGAGGGGCACTTGGCATCGTCGCGGGAAAAGTTCATCAGAGATGGATTAGGGTATCGCCGGTCAAACGAGTTGTTTGGCGTGAACATCTTTGTCGACCCGCCTATTATGACATTTTACACATTCCATTGTTTATACGACAATATTCCCACGAGTATTTACCTCCCTTTCAAACGACGTATACCATAACAGGTGGGAAATTTGTCTGAGCATGCGCGAGTAAAATGAGTCACGCAATTGTGTGGAATACACGCAACGCGTGTTTACAAGGGGAAAGGTCTATTGCCGTCCGCAAAATTGTGTTAGAAGCCGAGGGGAAGTTTGGCACTCGAGAACATGTGCAAAGTTCGGCTGGTGAATATTGTCACACGGCAAATTGTATACACTGGATGGTGACGATTTCCACCTGAGAAAATATGTTTTCCTATGCAGTCCGGTGTTTTTTTCGTTTAGGCGGTACCCCCGATAGCGGGGACGCTCCTGCAAAAGTTGCAGGCAAAAGGTTCAGGCCCTCGAGACCCTGCATGCGGCAACGTCCGTCTACACGGTTTGGGGATGGTCCGTCAGTATTTGGATCGTCCAGCGGAGTTATTCAACGTATCGGAGGTTTTGGCCCGCATTGTTTATCTGTACGGTGTTGCTCGCAATGCCGGGCACGAGAAGACGACCGAATTTTGTGCAATTCTCCACGAGTTAGAGAAGAGGAAACCGCTCTTTTCCGGAGGCCTTTCAGGGCATTACGGTCGCGCTTTTGGGGGACCCCGCCCAAGTAACAATAGCGAAACAGATCACGGGAGTGCTCAAGTCCCAAGCCAAGACAGTTGAGGTCTCTTCCGGTTGTCCAAGCTCTCCTCAACCAGCGACGTCATCCGGACAGTTTTTATGACTGGCGAATCGGGGTCCTTGTTTTGAGTGTGGTCAATGGAGCCACTTTGTTGGATTACGAACCTGTACTTAGATTGTATTTTCGTGTTTGCGCGTTGTTTGTACGGTTAATGTTGATAACGGGTATTTAATAAAAGAGCACAAACACATGTTGCAAGATATTGTAGTTCAGTTTTGTCTGTTTTCCGCCCAGCCCTTTTTTCGCGTTTTCGGCACGTTGGTCCTGGGGGAGGGGCACCTAACGGCCCTAATGCTGATCCTCATTTGGCGCTTGGGACCAACAGGAGGAGGGAAATAAAAAAAAGGGAAAGGGAAAACGCACGTTTCCTTTGATTATTTACCACGCCTTATCTTCTTTTGATGTGCGGTTGGATACGGCAATCCGATTGCGGCGTGACTCGCATGATATAAAGTGGTGTGCGGTGTGCGCCCTCTCCTTCGTTGGTCCCGAGGTCCTGCCGGAATTAGTCCTGGCAAATCCGGCTCTTGAGGCGGTGAAACTGCTCCATTTTCGTGCCCCTCCTCTTTTGTGGCGGGGAAAATCCATAGTCCTGTGAACTTCACATGCAGAAGGAATTATTTTCTCGGATTATCCTCACAGGGGCGAATGTCGATGAGTTTTTCTACCATTTTTGCCAGTCAGTGGATTCAGCGCGCCATTACGCACGGCCTGCGATTTCCGCGCAGTTAGTCGCAGTATTTAATGCGGTAGTTCATGCGGAATTATTTCGAACTGTGTGTAGGGGATTCTGAATTTTGGGAGGGCACGGGTAGTGTTCATGGGTTTCGGAAATGGTGTGGGTTATTTGGGAGAGTAGAATCGTGATCATATTTGTGTATGTCAAAATGGTTGCCCGGAATATTTTAGGGAGAGGAAGCGAAGTGTGTAACTGATTTTATTCCCACGACTTAATTAATCCCTCCGTGTGCGGTTGATAAGGGCTAATGAGAATGCGTTGGTATTTCATTAGCCATAAAAATTACGAAAAACGTACCGGAAGCGGAAGGGATGAGGAAATAGCCCAGAAAGACTGGGAACAATAGCGTAAGAGGTCATGTGCCCTTCGGAGTGTTACATGTGCAGAAACTGGCATAGTTTAGTCTTACCAAAGTAGCACGTGGAAGAAGGCATGGTTCAGACAAGCAAGGGAAGGGAAGAACACCCACCTCCCCTGTAGGCCAACAGTGTTTTGCCTTTTTTTCCGACTCAACCGTTCACGGATTTTATTCCCATAGGCCATAACAGGTGGGAAATTTATCTCAGCAATGCGCTTACAAAAAGGCGCAATTGTGTAAATATTGCCAAATGTTTGGTACAAAATAAATTACTGTTTTATGTTGAAAATGGATATGATCTAAATTAATCATACAGAATTTTTTAGTGACGTTCTATTTCAGTACCCTGCTATTGTTCCTGGTGCGCTGTCCGTGTGCATTCGATCTGAAACAGTTGCTACTTTGCTGTCGAAACATTTTGAATATTTACACGAAAATAGAGACAAGTCATGCATGTTATCACCTCGTAAACTGTATGAGCCCCTATTTTTACGTTTATACCTAAGATATCAAATCAAAATACATGAAACAGAGAACATTTTTAGAAAGTTTTATCGCGAGACCACGGCCAGTTTTTAAAATATCTTCATTTCTTTTCCTGTCATCACCAAAATTACACTGAAGCCGGGCTTGAATATACAACAAATTTTGAACCTCATCAAGTACAAAAATATTTAACATGTATAACCAAAATATGCTCATGAAATCGAAACTAAGAGCTAAATTTTCAAACTAGACCCTTCTCGAAGCGGTTATCATGAAGGAAGTTCACATTTCGGCCTTTGATTCTTGGCAAAAATTTGACCACAACACGTGCGAAGCAACTGGGTCTCAAAGACTGAACTAAAGCATTGTGAGCCCCTATTTTCCTGACGACATGTTTGATACCTACAAACGCCGAAAACTTTTTTCTTTTCATTTAGATATATTTAAAATTGAGGCCACGGGCTATTTTTTAAAAAATACAGTTCAAAGTCAAGCTATTTTTACATATTTTCAAAATGTGTCAAATTTCGCGAGCTTATATTTTGAACTTAGACCGCTGAAGTTACATTAACAAACATACGATGGAAAATTTGAGGCATATAAAGTTAATTTCAACTTACATTTCATTCTCAAATCACGTCTTTCTTCGTTTATTACGGTTTTAAACAAGCCATAGATCGACGTATACGGTATTTACTCCCATGTTCACGTCGCCATATTAAACTTCTTCCAATCACTCGATTACAAAACAATCATCCCAAAACAAAGAATTCATGATCGACTTTTAAAAGAATAACCAATAATTTGTAAATCGTTGAATGGAAAGCAAAAAATCGTCAGCTAAAACAGCTTCTTGCTAACTTTCTGCTTTGTTTTGAATGTAAATGCAATGGAGCTTTGTTTCTGCCCGCAATTTTTTGGTCAGCGACGACAAATTTCCCACCTGTTATAGGTTATAGGCCACAACGTAGTCCCTCCGTGTGCGGTTGAATTTTGATAAAAGGCTAATGAGAATGCGTTGGTATTATAAACAACTTTAAATTTATTTATTAATTAATTCATAAATAATGGAACCATGCAATTATTACAAAACCTCAAGTGCAAATTAATTCAATAATAATGAAAGTAAATAAATAAATAAATAAATATCTCGACAGTGCTCCTGTGATACCTTGGTTAAAAACAAACATGTCCAGGATTGTTCCTTACAAGATATATAACATTCGACTATCCTTGACGTCTTATCGTAAACGTGCCCGTCACTGGTGTATAATATGTAAAAGAAAAAGTCTTGCAAAGTTGAACAAAACTTACTTTAAATGGGAGGACTGGACACGAGTTAAGGGATATGCTACTCATGTGAAAAGTTGGTCAAAAGTTGAATGTTTAAAGGTAAGCTCGAAGGCTGCATTCTCTGGGCCAACTTGCATGCCCTAACGTTCCATTTATGGTAAAGCACTCAGTAGAATCGATAGAATACACTGACCCGTAAATGTTGAACTACTATGAAGAACTAGGTGCGAAAAGCAAACGGCAAAAGCCATACGTCATAGAATAGTAAAACTTCCGTAATAAATATTTCTAAATTAAAGATTTTTACAATGTTGGCATGAGTTTGGTTATGTTGAAACTTAGTTCTTGACACCTACAATATATATATATATATATTTGGATTTTAATGTTAGATTAAATATACATGTTATACTATAGCTGTATACTTGAAATACCATTATCAAAACACATCACAACCTCGTACCCAGGCTATTTTCTCTCGCACTCTGGTGCCACGGCCCCAAAAAGACCCTGGGTACGAGGATGAACACATCAATCATGTATTTATAATTAGGATAAATAATTTGGTCTACCGATAACACTATATAATGCTTGGGAATAATGTTGCTTTTATATGTTTTATAGAAAACAAGGTGACGGGTGATTCAGATAAGCTGTATAGTTTCTAGATGTGTTGACATATGACAAAGAATAAATATACCAAGGATTTCTCCAACAACCTCTGCCTGAATTCGTGTGTAACATTCTAGCCCTTTCGACACTTTCTGGATCATTTAACTTAAATACAAGATAACTCATATAGAAGCTATGAATATGAAGCTTTGTGTACTATTAAAAACACGAGCAGGTGTGCTTTATCACATATAATAAAGCACGGACTGCGAGTGTTTTAACGACCCATTGATGACGCACTGTCACTGGCGAAGTAATTTTAGTCTAGGACCTGTATATGAGTTTGTATGCGATTCATTTAGGACAGGTAATCTCAACTGTTTTAGGGTAAAATGACCATGGCGGTCAACATGGCATATGTGCAAAAACCTGAATCCGGGACGAAAGTCCTGAAAATGACCCCGCCCTGAAACGGCAGTGTCGACATAGCTCTAACTTCCGAAAAGGAAAAACGATAGCCTTTCTGAAGTGCTTATAGTGTTTAGAAGGGTTGCTTTTAGGGGTGGTCATTGGAAGGAAAAATTTGTCTAAGTATAATATTTTACCAGAAAATGACTATGCACCACCCCAGGTAAATTGCTGATTATGCACAAAATAACTAATATGCCTGGCAGAAATGAAATATTCTTATTTCCTAAAAAAAATTATCATGGGGTGAAAAACTATGCTTAATTTAATATAAATATTGTTGATTTCATAAGGATTGTCATTGTTTTCTTTAAATATAATACATTTTATTTCACTTACCCCCCCCGAAAACACGATTTCAGCCATATTTTGCCGTCTTGTTTGCTTTTTATCGCCGAATCTCGCAAATATCATCCAGTTATTGTACTTTTACATAATCATAAATGGCTGAAGAAGATTTCAAAGAAGGTTTCATCCACTTTTGTAACAGTGCAGTGTATTTTACCTTCGATATTGTGTCCTTCGATATTTCGTCAAATTGCCGCCATTTTAATGGCTCGCCGCTTCTCTGTCTGATAAATGCAACTTCTTCGTTTCCATAAGTATTTAGATTACAGTATCCAAGAGCACTTCATTGTAGAATAGTCCCAATCGAAAAATTGACAACATTTGTCCCATTTGGAAGGAAA